GGGGGGGGCAAGCTCCGTTGTTATTTTGATTTGACGAACCTTTAAAACCACACCAAACCTCCGAGTCTCACAAAATTATAAATAATAAGAAGAAGAAAAAAGACCAAATCGGGCCATTATTTTTACAGAAATTTAATAATATAAACAGTTGCAGCATATGCCAGTCAAAGGAAAAAAACGCCAACTCTGCAATAAAGATGAGAAATATACATCTGTAACAAGTAGGGGTATCGACGCACAAATCTAGCGAATCTTCATACACGTTGAAGGTTTCATTTCACCTCGAAGAAGAATGAAAACATAAACTTTTCTCTTCTTTACTATAGAAATTATTATGAAAGTGAAAGTGCAAAAGTGCGACAGTATTATCAAATTTTAACATCTTGTCAAAAAAAAGGAACAAACTGTTCTAATGTTACTATCTACGTGTCTGATTAGAGTGCTAGAACTATAGTTTTAAAATTGTTAAAACAATGTAATAATGCTAAAATGATGTAGCATTATATTCGACCTTCTCAACATCGAACTTCAGAAAACTCTATGTACTCATTAAAATAATCAAGAATATATTCTTTTGTCAGTTGATATCTCTCCAAAGAATGCTGATGTCGGCCATATTTGTTCTGTGGATTGTCTTTGATGTAAGCCGCCATTATGGCTTCTCCTTCTGCGGTTAATTCCAACCCGAAGCGGTCGTAGATTCTCTTCACGACATTCAAGGGGTCTTTGACAATATCACTATAGGCAATATCACAGAAGCGGTGTTCTTCTTCTGGATGTGACTTTCTGAATGCCATCATGTTCAACCCACTGTGGAACAGTGGAATAGCCACCATATTCTCACCGATCTTTTTCAAGTCAAGGCTCGCTGGATCGTATGCAAGACCTTTGTACGTCGCGGCCATCGAGCAGAGAGAAGCGATAGTTTCGCAGGGGTCGCGGTAGGTGTGGATGAAGGTGGCGTCCGGATACACTTTCAAAATGGCGTCCAGATAGAGACTGTGGGTTGACTCTTTAAAAACAAGTTGCTTGTTGGTGTCATCTGGAAAATAGATTATAATTTTTTTTCAAATTGATAATGGGATGGCTTTAATGGCTGTATACACTTTGAAGATTATATGCCAATGAGGAGTCAATGAGCAGAACCAAGCCAAAGAGTGTCGAAAGAAACGATTTGTTTCGATTTTCTGATCAAATCTATGGTATATAGACTAAATATCGGGCCTCATATCATTTTCTTTACGTGTACTTGATTGTCATAATATCTCTACCAGGGGGTCTTGTGGAATATTTATAAAACTGTGCACGTGTCTAGTATGAGGAGGCGACAACAACACAGACGACCCCTTGCTTACTACCAGTCAAACCTCATCTACATTGTAGTACCAAGAATTCAGTCTCGACTATTTATCTATTACAATTGATAACAGTTGTTGTGAATTGCAAAAACGAATCACTTAAATAAAATCCGGAACTAATTCCACCACCCTATTACTATCTAATTTCTATGTCCATCAAAATTTAACCTTTATGCTGACTTTGATAAATCTCTCCGCTGTTCAACTAAAAAACATTGTTCTTTGGAAGTTTACTGACTAAACTTTGGCTAATGAAATTACAGTTATTATTCACCCAATCAATGACCTAAGCTGCCATAATATTTGGATGGCACTAAGTATGAAGTTAAAAAACTTTTAAATCAGTAAAGGAATTGCCTAACCGGTTTATTTGAAAAGACAATGCCCAAAGTCAACACATAACTCAATTTGGAGAAAATAATGAAAATTAAAGAATTTTGTGGTGAGGGGATACTGCAAAAGTGCTCAAAGACAAAGTCGATAAATATCAGGCATTTTTCTGAATCTATTTGAAAACATACCTGAACCCCGGGAGAGGAGAATGAGCTGAATCTGCAATTTATGAAAACGGTAGGCGTCTTCCTTTTCTTCCTCACTCAGCGAGCTGAGCCAGGCTAGGT